AGCACTGGACACTTTTAAGATTCAGCTGGACGGGGTGCTGGACCATCTTGTCTAGACAGTGCTTTTGCCCAGAAAGGTTGGACCAGATGATCTTTGAGGCCCCTGGTACATTATGCTTCGATGATTCTATAAGGTTATTTTAGGCAGACTTAGAGAACACCAAACACAACCATTTTTATCCTTCTCCACGCCTCGCCTTTTTCATGTATATTCTTGCCCAATACAGCTTCCATTAAATTCAATTTGACATATTTACTTAGAGTAAGCAAATGTTCTCTCAAGATGGAAGAAACAGTAAAAAGATGTAAACTCACTAAACAGCGGTTCATGGCAACAATTTAAATGATCATAAGCTAAGTTATGGGACTGATTATACATAAAGATTTATCAAAATTTTGGACGTTATTTTTAAACATCAACACAGAGCTCTTGGCTAACAGTATAGTTTTGAAGCTTACCAAAAAAATGTAACAGTCATCTTTCTAGCATCATTAATCAAAAAAACACACTTAAATTGTCTTCAAATAAATACACAATCCAAACAGAAGCAGATCTACAGAATGAAGACTTTCCTCTTGAACAATGATTTAATAATATAAATTACATTATCTCCATGTTTTGGGGTAGTATTGTTTCAATTCTTGGTATCAATTTATTAAATATATTTTCCACTGCTCCATATCTATTGTAGCCTTCTTAAAACCATGGCTACATATACAGTAAGTGCAAAACAAATGCTTTCACTCAATAAATAACACTGTCTCAAAAGGTCTCAGTTTGGGATTTATTTTTCTATCCTTTAATAAGAAAGTTAAGAAACAAAGAGGAAAAAGTAGAATGTCTCAGTTTGGGATTTATTTTTCTTTCCTTTAATATGAAAGTTAAGAAACAAAGAGGAAAAAGTAGAAGTCTTAACACACTTTGCTGTTCATCTCCAAATGCATTTTTATTTTAATAGTCGATATCACTAGGCTGTACCATGACTTGCTCCTTTAAACCTTTCTCTCACGATATAAAACAAATCCATCAGAGAATTCCCTGAATTTCTGAGGTATTTTTTTTTGAAGGTCTGAAATCTGAAGGTATTTTTTTTCCTGGACAGAAAAAAAGGCTTAGCAACTACAAAAGAGACAGAGGCTATCACTCACATACCTGAAGAAGTCTATACAGAAATCAAGAGTCCTGGGAGAAAAAGTAGGATGCTGTATACACTTATTCACAGCTGAGCATTGTATCTCCTGTTAACTTGGGCTCCATCACCAGGATAACAAAAATATTTTGTCTTACTCATTTGCTATGAAAGTTAGCTAGGCTCATGTTTTTCTCTCCCTCACTCTGTTGATTTAAGGTACCTGTTAATTTTTATTAAATCACTTCCTCGGGTCACCCCTATGATCTTCCCTACTTTGCTTTATTGACTAAAATATACAGTCACCAGGCCTAATCACTCCCGTGATTAGAGATATTCCGTGATTAGAGATGTTCATTTGTCATTTTACAAGTACTAGGACACTTTTTAACAGATCAGCCTTCTAATTATATGGACAAAACAAAAACATGAAATAGAAAAAGACAGAAAATGGCACACGAATGAAGAACAGGTATCTAAATAGAGTCCTAAATCATGAACGTGCATGACAGGGAATAAAGACCAAGAACAACGAAGATCACCGAATCACAGTATTGCCTAGATTGGAAAAGGCCTTCAAGATCATCAAGTCCAATCATTAAACTAACACTGACAAGTTCTCGACTAAACCCTAAGCACTGTGTCTACCTGCCTTTTAAATACCTCCAGGGATGGGGACTCCACCACTGTCCCAGGCAGCTTGTTTCAGTCAAGCTCAACAACTGGTAATGAAGTTAACATAAAGAAAATTAAAATGTTGATTAAAAATACACAAATGGAAAATAGCAAAAGAATATTTTAATGTAGAATGTAAGAACAGAAATCTTTGCTCATGGGCAAAGAGCTCTGAGAACAATAAAACAAAACATTTTTTTAAAATATCAGCTTTTCAGACAGCATAAGGCTTACCATCTGAGTAACACTAATCAAAGCCTTCTTTCCACAGCCTCACATCAAGTCTAAAAATTCAATTTCTTTTACTTAAGCGTGCCTCAGTTAAACTACATGTACTTAGCATGAACATTTCCAACTACTGGAAGAAGCCAGAGAAGCCTTTCTACGAGGTATCATCCTCCTTAACAACTTGTGCTGAACACTAAAGTCATTACCATCCCAACTTTCAGCTATAGCACACAGGGTGACACAATAGGAAAAGTACCATGAAAGAAGTTCAGATTGATGCTTCCAGCTTTAATTTAATGCGCAATGAGTAAACCAACAGAATAGCAACTCATGAATTGTAAGATGAGAGAAAGGGGAAAATTAGAAAAAAAAGGAGTAAGTCTACAGATTTCAAGATAGTTACGTGTTGTCAAATGGCAAACCATGAAAAGTGTGAAGAACAAAGGAAATCAAGCAATCAAGAGCTCAGAGGATTGCCAGTGACTGGAAACAAGCTTGAAGGAGTAGTCATGGTGCAAAGGTAAGTGTTGAGTCAGACAGAAGAAAAAAGCTGTAGGACAAACAAGCTGAAACTGCTACTAAATAAGTGAGAAGGATACGTCTATTATGAAAATGATTCTATGAGACTAAATCATACAAAAGAACTTGACAGGTGATGACAAATGAGACAACAAGGGGGCATAGGGACTGCAGGCACGAGTATATGTTAATAATAAGCCAAAACATTTTAAAATATTAATGCTTTGAATTATTAAAATGAAAACAAAAGACTTGATTCTTGTGATCAAGTAATAACTACCCCTACACTCTGGAAAGCTCAGAGATGAGATGGGAATATCAGAATAATTTAGGCTGGAAGGAAATGCTGGAGGTCCTCTTGCCCAGCCCACTGCTCCAAACAGGGACAATTTTGATGGCAATTCAGGTTTTTCACCATTCTACAAAGTTAAGTTCTTAAGATTTCTAAATACGGCAATCTCATGTTCTCTCTGGGCAACTGGAAAAAGGGAATTTTTTATTAGGGAGGTTTTCCACTGCTGCAATACGTTCACTAACTTAAGCCAGGCACGTCTGGGAACAGTCTGGCTCCATTTCCACAGCACCTTCCCATTTGGGGATCAAAGAAAGAAACAGAAATTACCCCAGCAATCTTCTACAAACTGAACAGATGCAGCTCTTTGAACTTGTCCTCATCTGTCACATGCTCCGGCCTGCCAATCACCTTGGCAATACTGCTGGACCGATACCAGTGTGTTAATATTTCTATTGTACGGGGAGCTCAAAACTGGCCTCCGTTCTAAAGACGTCATCTCTCAAACGCCAAATCGAAGGGAATAATTACTTTTCTCCACTTGCTGGCTACAGTCTTGCAACCACAGACAAATCAAGCAAAATCAACCAATTTCTACCGATGACACGCACAGCAGAATTTCTCAAAGTGCTCTATTTATGGAGCACTGACTAAAGAATTATGTCAATCACTTCAATTATTTGTATCTAGTTTGCATGCCTGCTTCCTCTTCTGCTTACCAATGAAACTAATTCAGTATTAATTCAAAGATGGAACTTTATGACGCTAACGGTAAAAAGACATATTCACGCCACTACAATTAATTTGCTCAGGGAATGGGTGGAGTGTAAATCTATGAAATAAATGGATTCTGAGTTCTTAAGTGTATGTACGCACTCATAAGGAATTTCCTCATTAAGAAATTATCCAAAGCCAATTTTTAAATATATAATTACATCATTACTTACACAATACAAATCAGACGATATATCAAAACATTCTAAAATTATTTCCTATATAGTCCTTTCTGATGTGCAGCTTTAAAATTACTTTTTCTATTCATTCCTAACAACTTGGGATACTTCTGCGAGGGTTTCAGAGAAACTGCTGCTGAAGATATCAGTGCGTTAGCTTCCAAGAATTAATTTTATTATGCTATAAGCACTATCTTTGGGCATGTTCATTTCCCATGGAAAAATGACTTTATTTCATGTGGTGTATAATCAGTAATTTAGGTCAAATTGTTTGGCCAGTCACTGCAGTAGACCTATCAACGAAAAATATGAACAAAAATCCTGAGCAAATAAGTATACGCTCATTCACTTAGCCTAACAGAATGATGGGCTCTAAAAGACAAGTTTTAGTTCTTAAAGCAATATTCACAGTAAAAATATTTAACAGGAAGGACAGCACTGGATTTGGACTGAGTGGAGATTAAGTTGGTTTGGTAGTTAGAGGACTTTTAACCTTTAATAGGATAACAACCAAAAAAAATCCTATTAGTTTGCATAAAGAGAGGGGGGAAAAAAAAACAATTTACTTCGTTTCAGGATACACTGTAAGCAGTCAGCTGTGGCAGTAGAGGGCTTGGGCTTGATCCTTCTAACCTTACATGCTTCTCTGCTATTTCAGCCTTTTTTCCCCTCCCTTCTCGGGATTTTACCTTACGGTGTTTTCAAATAACATATATGATGGGGAACAGCAGATCCACGACCTGAAGCTTCTATTAAAAACAAACCTTCTCAAAACTTTTTTGTTTCCTCAGATTTTTTAAAATGTAGTCAAAACAGGAACTTGATAAGCTAGGATGAACACAGATTTTTAAATTACAGTAGCAAGCATACACTAATTATTAGATTTCAAGATATAAGTATTAGTTGAAAAGCAGTACATGTAGTGTAGCACGAGTTGCCGTCAATGCAGAATGGTACAGAATTGATTTACAGGTCAGTACCAGTAAAAGATTTAAACACTCTGAGTGGCAAAGATTTTCATTTCAATATCTCATCACCAACAAATACGAGAAAACTGAGAGTACTGCCCTGTTGAACTGATGTTATATTGGGTTAAATGATTCTTTTAGACTATTTGATTCATAAAAAAAAACATATTTAGAAGTCCAAAACAGATTTTTTTTCAGAAAAATAATGGAAAGGGGAGATTTAGGAAGATACATACCATGTTTTCTACTCGGAGCTCAAAAGGCATAGGGTTGTACACCATCAACTGAACTTCACATACGTCTCCCTGGACCCATTGGAAGTCTGTGTGAAATAATTGCAGAATTAATGCAGGAATTATCTACTTGTGGTGTTATTAAAAACAAAAAACACCATCAACTGAACTGTCTGTATAATCTTCACAGCCCAAGGCCTACTCAAGTGCATTATGGGACACAAGCTATAAATTCCAAGCAAAGCAAGGGGTTAAAGGACTAGAAACGTTTATTACTACAGCAATAGTGCTTCAAAGACCCAACATTATCTTGGCCAAATTAACTCAGGCATCAATTTAAAACAGTAAACACATCCTTAATATTTAACACTTTAAGGCTTACATGCTTGGAGTTAGGTCCAGAGCACATATTGTCTTGGATGTTTAAGACTCAGATAAGAAGTAACCAGAAGAAAGGAAGGAACACAACAGGAAGAAAGATATTAAAAAGAACGGAAACAAGTCTTCATATAAACACAGCTGATCATACGGAGTAAAAAGAAGATCACTCGAAATTAAGCAAGAAACAACTGCCCACCAGCAGGACACCACCTCAGTTTCCTCCTGCTGTTTTTCTTTGAGAAACATTTAGTAGTTTGAGAGATGCTGTGGGAGAGGAATATGACACTAGTATCTATAGATACAGATTACTAATTTTTATTGAAGAAAAATGGAGACCTAAGCAATAACCCAAATTAAACCATAACTTGTGAAAATTCTTAGGAAAGCCAATGAACAAAAATGGCTCAGGTAATAAGATGCAGTTTCAGTTTATATCTCACTGTAAGAGCCAGAAGTTCAACTTGAAAGACACTTCACCCTGCCAAGTTTAAAATTTGTTGGTGGCTTTTTTAATTTGAGTCAATTTATGGAAGTGAGGTCAGCAGCAGAGACTCAAGTTGTGAGGAGCTGCTCAATGCAGAACGATTCTTTTACATTAGCACTTCGTAAGCTTTGCAGCCCACAAGATCCTGCCTACCGTCCAAATTTCTCACAGAAACTCATGCACCTGATGTTCAGACTGAAATCTGAATGTGCCAAGATTCTCCATAGAAGCCAAGGACTTGCAGTCCAAATAAATAAAATGTGGTTTAATTGTATTTGCTAAATAAATTACTCTAAATTAATCTATAACGTACATGGATTAATTTTTGTTTACTCAAGAATTTTAACAGACATTACTTTTTTACTAGGATATTAGAAAGTGTCCAGTAAAAAAAAAAACAGGATTATTAATACCAAGACTGTAATTCACAGTTGAAACCATCTGTACTCTAATTGTACATTCACATTTACTATCTGATTACATTTTGCAAGCAATATCGAGAGCTCAAGGGAGATGTGCTTAATGTAAATGTTTAACTCCAAATAATCATAGAATCACAGAATGGCCTAGGCTGGAAGGGACCTTAGAGATCATTTAATCCAACCTCCCTGTCATGGGCAAGGACACCTCTCAACTAGACCAGGCAACACATGGGGACTAGTGAAAATTAAAAACATACATTCAGAGATATTAACAGATTCTATTACTATGAAACCTGAGAAGCAAAAGTGTTGATTAAAGCAAAACGTTCAAAGGCACAATTGTATGAGATGTTTGGTAAATTTCTTTTTATTTAATTGCTTCTTAGTGCTCACAATATCTTAGGCATTCTGCAGTCCCCCGAAGAAATTGGTTACTCCTCTGAAGAGGTATTGTACAGAGCTTCAAAGGTATCCAATTAGGGTTAACTACATCAACACCAGCACTTGTGGCAGCCCAAGAAGGCTCCTTCCAAGTTAATTTCCACATTATAGGAACTACCATAAGCTTGGAATGGTTTTTCTGAAAATGTTTTCAACGCAACCATGTAAAAAGTGATTCCGAACAAGTCAGTTCGAAAAAGTCATGTTCAAAACTCTTAATTTCGTGTAAGTCTTACTCCAAACAAATGCAAACCATCGATTTGTCTGATGCTTTAATCTGCCTTTCCTTCCAAAAAGAAACGATTCTAGGCTCACTTAACTTTTACAGATACGATCCCTCCCCCAGCATTGAATACTCCCTGAATGACCTTACGACAGTACTGCAGCCGCAGGAAGCTGACACTGGGAGTGCAAGCTGCTGCTGCTGGGCGCTGAGAGGAATGCAAGGCTTGCGAGGTCCCTCATGGGGGTCTGAGAGGGGTTTGGGGCCCACCACATCCTTGGGATGTGCTTGAGAAGGGATCGTCCGGCAAGACCAATCCACTCAAGGGTACTGAGGGAGCTGGCAGAAGTGGTCCTCAAACCACTTTGCATCATTTATCAGCAGTCCTGGCTACCCGGGGAGGTCCCAGTGGTCTGGAGGTTTGCAAATGTGATGCTCATCTACAAGAAGGGCAGGAGAAAAGGTCCAGGCCTGTCAGCCTTGAAAATAGGATTATAGGAAAACTAGCAAATGATTGAATCTAAGCAAAGGCAAAGCTATTGATTAGCTACATGGATTGTTAGCTATTCTTTAACAGTAGTCAAGCACTGGTAGAAACCCACTGAAGCAGGAAGAGCTGGGGATAAGCATGAAGATAGTTCCTTAAAGACCAGTTGATACCAGCTCTGCAGTTTGGATGAAAGCTGAAAGACGACTGAGTCTGCGCAAAGAGCTAAAGGTGAAAAGTGCACAGTGAGGAAGATTACGAGCCTTCTTCCAGAAGACCACCTTCCTCAACGACCACCACCAGGAAGCGCTGCGCAAGGGCAGACAGGAAGAATTTATGTAAATGATGCAGTAGAACTCATTTTAATACGAAGCGGGCCTAGGGCATGCATATGTATAGGCATCTTTTGAAACTTCATGAATATGTAACACTTTACTGTATATAGTCAAGGCAAGAGCCGCGTTGGGGCACGCTCCACTTTGGAGGCAGTATCCCCTGCGCTGCCCAGCACTGTATAAACATACCTACTTTACAATCTAATTGATTGTGGAGTCTGTTTTCCGCACGTCAAGCCTGACATTGGTGCCAGGGAAGGCCATGGAGCAGACTATCTTGAATACAAGGCAACCAGATGATCATGCTCAGTCAGCAGGGGTTCACGAAAGGCAGGTCCCACTCAACTAACCTGAGCTCCTTCCACGACCCACCTAGTGGATGAAGGAAAGGCTGTAGATGTTGTCTCCCCAGACTTTAGTGAAGCCTTTGGTATCGTTTCCCATAGCATTCTCCTGGAGAAACTGGCTGCTCATGGCTTGGATGTGTACCCTTTACTGGGTGAAAAAACAGCTGGATGGCCAGGCCCAAAAAGTGGTGGTGAACAGAGTTAAATCCAGTTGGCAGCCGGTTCCCATGCCACAACCAGAGAGCCCAGGCCAGGCTAGGATCTCGGTATGGCTGGGGAGCAACCTTGCTGAAAGGCACCTGAGGTCCTGCTGGACAAGCAGGTGAAGAGAAGTCAGCAGTGCACTGCTCCAGCAAGGAAGGTGAATCGGATCCACAAGGGCACTGCTAGCTGAGACAGAGATGTGATCGTGTCGCTCCACTCTGAAGTGCCATGTCCAGTTCTGGTCCCTCCAACTCAAGAGAGACACAGACTGGAGAGGATCCCTTTGGATTATCCCTTTGGATAATCTTCTTGCCACGAAGATCATCAAGGGGCTAGAAAAACTTCCATGAGGAAAGAGTAAATAAGTTAGGTCTCTTCTCCTTGGAGAAGAGGAGGCTCAGGGAGGATCTCATCATAGCATTCCCATACTCAAAGGGTGGCTACAAAGAGTGCAGGGACTCTCTTTTCACGAGGAGCCACAGGGAGAAGGCAATGGGTAATGGGTACATGTTGCACCTCTCATTGCAATATAGGACAGAAAATTTTTTACAGTGAGAGCAGTCACTCACTGGAACAACCTCCCCAAGGACATGGTGGTTTCCACATCAATGAAGCTTTTCAAGATGCAACTGGACCAGGTGCTAGATGATCTTATCTAGGCACTCCCACTTCTAGAGACCTCAACAGCTGCCTCTGGGTTCCTTCCCAGAAGATCCAGCTACCCCATGTAAAGACACCAGGGCGATGCTACAGAACTGCCTCCTCGGGGAAAAAGCTTTTGAAAAGAAAGGTAAAATTAGGTTATATGGCCTGAGTAAAGAGCTATATTTATATCATCTCATACAGGTATGACAGTTGCCAGATTTACTAATGGAACGACATTATACATTCTTGCTGCTTTAGACCATCAGCACTTGTTTTAAAGTACTTTATGTCAAAAATCAGTAGGTTTATCTCTTATGACTAGCGCGCTATTACAGCAATTTACCCAGAATATAATTATCCCATTTATTGTTTCCAATCAGAAAAGTTTATCAAGCTGAAAGCTGATAAGACTTCTTCCAGAGTTTCTAAAGGGTTTTGTTTCCCTGTGGTTTGTCAGCAGTACTTGATTTCCCTTGCTGTAATAATAACTTAACCAAAACATGACTGACTTATTTCCATGCAAGAAAATCAATTCATTATTGTCACAGCTTTTAATTAAATACATGTCATTAAAATATTCTCATTAGTTTCAAAGTTTCTTACATTTCTCCACTTCTTTCAAAGGAAGTATCTGATTTTATTTTGTGTATTCTTCTGTTTGCCAAACTTTGAATGAAATATTAGAGGCTTTCAGCATGCTATGTGTATAGCTCAAAAGACAAATGCTTTATGGGATCACAAGTGGTGAAGACATCTCCTTAGGCTAAATGAAAACCTAAAAGGAGAAACTGCCCTGTATAATATGAAACTCCTTTGGTACATGCAGTACATAAACAAATTCTAATCCAAACTCTTTGAAAAAAAGCAGGTTCCTTCTGTATCAATCAAGGAACAACAAGAATACTGAATAATACAAGTGTTTGAAATGATTAGCAATAAGGTTTTATTTAAATGAAAAAAACCAAACATGACAAGTTATACCTAAGAGATTAAATTCTGAATATGTAATTTTGATCAATTTTTAAACAAATTATTAACAGAAATAATACAAGTTATTTTCCAAATAAATCTTTAACAAGAAAGCACTTTAAGATGTTCCCATATGTCTTCATTTTTAAAATTTCTTATCCTCTACTTAATTCTTACTTCTTATGCTTTATCTTTTGAAATCAAAGCAGTATTGCAGCAAAACAGCACTGAGCCACGTCCACCCAAACCGTCCAATAAGCACAGAATGTGTTGGCCTGGATGGGACCTTTAAAGGTCATCTAGTTCCACATCCCTGCCATGAGCAGGGACATCTCTCACTAGCTCAGGTTGCTCAGAGCCCCATCCAGCCTGACCTTGAATGTCTCCAGGGATGAAGCCTCCACCATCTCTTTGGGCACCCTGTGCCAGCTCTTCACCAACCTCACAGTAAAGAACTTCTTGCTAACTTCTAGTCTAAATCTATCCTGCTCTGGTTTAAAGCCATTGTCCCTCGTCCTGTCACTACACCCCCTTGTGAACAGTCCCTCCCCAGCTTTCCTGTAGCCCCTTCAGGTACTGGCAGGCCGCTATAAGATCTCCCGGGAGCCTTCTCTTCTCCTGGCTGAACAACCCCAACTCTCTCAGCCTGTCCTCACAGCAGAGGTGCTCCAGTCCTCTGATCATTTTCATGGCCTCCTCTGGAGCCACTCCAACAGGTCCACGTCCTTCTTGTGTCAAGGGCTCCAGAGCTGGACACAGAACTCCAGGTGAGGTCTCACCAGAGCAGAGTAGAGGGGCAGAATCACCTCTCTCACCTCACTGGCTATGTTTCTCTGGATGCAGCCCAGCATGCAATTGGCCTTTTGGATTGCAAGAGCACATTATTGCCTCCGGTCTGGTTTTTCGTCCACCAGTACCCTCAAGCCCTTTCCACAGGGCTGCTCTCTAGCACATCATCCCCCAGTCTGCACTGATAACAAGGATTACCCTGACCCAGGCGCAGGACCTTGCACTTGGCCGTGTTGAATCTCGTGAGATTTGCATGGGCCCACGTGTTAGAAAGATGCCATGCAGAGAGATTCTCCCCTCCGCAGGCCAGGAACAATCCAGAGGAACAAGCCAAGTGATTGCTACACTGCTGGAGGAAAATAATTTTAAAAGCAGAGGAAAGAGGACAGTTAGAAGGGTAAAAAAGGGAAACAAAAAAGGAGGAGTGCCAGAGAGCAATGCAATAAGCTACAACACAAATACTCTACCACTAACAAGAGAAATGGACAATAAGGGAAGCAGAAAGGATTCTCCATCTCTCTCATACGCTTGCACTGACGCTTTTGTTAAAAATTATGCATGTGATATGCACAAAAGCGATAAAAAAAGACTGCTGATACTTGTAACTTAACCCAGGATTTGAAACAACCTTGTAATCTATTGCCAATAGCACAACTACTACACTGAAGAGCTTTGTTATGAACGATATAATCCTCTGGCAGAAAATGATTAGCATTCCAAACATTGTTCATAAGGCTTTTTGGATTTTTGCTGAACTGTCTTTAAGAAAAACTGACTAATCAGACAGTTAATCATTCTGAGTTCAAGTTAAATCATTACAGGGTATCACCTATATATATTTTTTTTCTCCCAGAAGAGATAAAGTCAAAAATGAACAGCGATCCAACCCTGGGATGCTGTGGGTGATGAACTACCACAGTCCAGCTGCCTATGGATTTCCATCTTCTGTCCAAGAAACCGCAGCTCAGTCATCCTCATTTCTTTGTGTTCACGACGACATCCTCAGCAGAAAAGGGGAAACCCCCACAGTCCATCTAACTCAGGGCCACACACGTGATAACTGGATAAGCTGGCTTCTGCCAAATAGAATGTATCAGAACCAAGTTTTCCCTAACTTCTCTTCTGCTTGAGAAGAAAATATACTTTAACCTCCTCTGAAAACCCTTTATGTCATCGATGCAAAGCTTCACTCCTTCAGAACTTTAGGCTAAAAAGCTGATTATTTCAAATACAAGAAAGTGTTCAGGTTTGCTTTCCTTAATCAAAACAGATTTTCTAACATAACAGAACAACAGAAAATACTTAAATAAATTCTTACCTATTTTCTTACTTCGTTCTTCCCCACGACTGTGCGCAATAATTGGAGAATATATGAAGGGGCTTTTGGTTGACACATTCTGACCAAGCAGACTTTTCATTTTGTGAGGTCGGAGACTGGTCGGGAGGTTCAAGAGCTTTACAGATCTGTTGAGCAAAAATCATTTTATAGGTGGTTGTGTTAAAAATGAAGTGATAAACACTAAATGACACTCTGAGTAGGTTCTGACCACAAAAAACACCTGAAATGGAAAAAATGAAGTAAACGCCTACAGTAAAAAAGAAAGTAATGACAACCCAAGGAAACTAAAGGCAGAGTTTCAGAAAGCTCTCAGGAAATAAATATCAAAAGAAAAACATCTTCCATAGAAACCAATAAAATCAAAACTAGCCAGATGGATCATTGGAAATCCAGCTGCAAGTCTAGTGCAGGAAGCCACCAAATATTTAACTTAAACCAGACAACAAGCCAGACAACATTTCATTGGACAATGTTATACAAAAAGAAGTTCTTCGATGTAAATAAAACAAATTTTAAATCAGTTAAACTGCACCGAGTTGCTTCTAAAATGAAGGCAACATTCCAGAAATTTGAGTTTGTTGGACAACAATAAAGCAATTACAAAAAGACAAAAAATAAACAATTCATTGTACCATATCCCTCCTACAGCTAAATCCCTTCAATACCATGCAGGGAAATCACTGGTCTTCCGATGCTGATGGGAAATGAAAGAGGAAATATTGGGCATAAGAACAAGCAATAAATCAGCGGATAATCAGTAAAAGTAGAGCATTATAAAAGCCTGTAAGAATTCTCATTACTTAAGAGGCAGGGAGGAGCAAGGTAAGGAGAAACAAAAGGTGAATAAAGGCACCATTCAGTGTTTTAGCTGTTTTGCTACAGTCTAGTAAGCTTGAAGTATTTGTGCTTTTAATTAAGAACACCATCAAGAGACAGGAATTCCCCTTTTATAATCACTCATAGCTTACACATCCAACTTTTTTTTATTAAAAAAAATCATTTTCAAGTAAAAAGAAAATTCCCGTGGAATAAAACTTTAATTTTTGCAAGTTGCTAGAAGCATCCCACCATACTGAGGCAGACAAGGAAGAATGAAATAAACCACAAAACTTTCCAGCAGGAAACTGTTACAAGATACCTAAAGATACAGTGGGCACGTACCAAGAGAAACAATAGAGTCTGGCTAAACCCCTAGGAGATGTCCAAAATTAATTAAGAGGCAAAGTGCAAGACTGCTGGAAAACACCAACTTGTTGAAAGATTAACTCCCTTCTTCCCCTGTTTCCTACATCCACCTCCCACAGTAAAACTTACCTCCCTGGAATTCTTTGATAATGCCATAATAAACCAAAGAGGCTACAAATGTTACAGCACAGGATTGATTACATGTTTTATGAAGTTCTTCAAATACTACAAATACAAGAGTGCTGCAGCATTAGGAGAGAAATCTGCCTTCTTCAGCTGTAAAGATCATGGAAACAACTTAAAATCGAGTGTCTTCACTTGGAAAAAAACAGGTAAGTACTTTTTTATATGTTAAAAGAGCGTTGCACCATCTATAGGACATAACTGAATAATTTGCCAAAGTTACAGAACAATACTTATTTCAAAGCTATACTGAGAACATAAAAATGATGTAAGTCCTCAGCAGATTAAAGTACAGCTGAACCAACGTCCCACTAATAAAAAGTATAAAAACACAAGAAAAAAATTTACTTTAAAAATTACCCAAATAATTAAAAACTACCAAATAACATGCTGAAAAATAACGCTGGCATAAGAGCAACACTAAACAGACATGTTAGCTCTGTGATACAAAAGATCTCATAACAAGTTATTAGATAACACTAAAAGTATTTTGAATAAGAAAGAAATCACTTCCATATATTACCTGCTGGTGATACAATCAAAAGCAAAATAACAGACAATGAGCTTGAGGAACAGAGAAACTGTCACAGGTTGCTGAATATTTCATAGTTTGAAATCTCTTCTGATAGAATTCTGTTACAAATTAGAATTCTACTTAAAGTAAAACATGTAAATAAAACTTATTTGAGCAAAATAAATTTGATAAAGTGCTAGTAAAAAGGAATTTTATTTTTCTATACATAAAGAAGTGCTTCGGCTTATCCTTCAATATGATATTAATACTGGTGGATAACCTTTATCTTCATGTATGACAGTGGGAGGAATGTTCTTCAACTACACGTTAGACAGCTGTATCCTCACAGGTCATACATAGAACACAAATTCCTTTGTGGGAAAAGCTTCAGTAATGTAGATTTTCTAGCTCCTGTCCCAGCCTGACAATTAGAAATTACAAAATAACTTCACTACCTACCCAGACAACCAAGTTCTTGTATTTGGAAAAAGTTAATTAAACCCAACCTTGCTTAGAGGTGAAATAAAATAAATAATTTTAAAACGCACTCCACTAGGTCAACAGAGGGAAGGAAAAAAGTGGCACCAAGTTCATAGTAGTAACAAAAATATATAAGGGCAACAAAAAGATAACAGTGGTGAAAAGTAAGAAAATTCTTTCTTAAGCATATTAGTAATAAAGTTAGTTTTAATACAGGTAAATTATGAAAATGACAATAATACAGAATAGAAAAACAATAAATTCTATTTTATATTACAGATAAAAATAGATGGTGAATTTACAGGATGCTATAATGGAATACTTTCCAATTCAACATGGTTTTGGTTTCTAAAGCTTCATCAAAAGAACTAAAAATTTACCAAAGAGCTTTCCAGATTGCAATGTGGCACCTGAAAACTCAAGAAAAAAAAAACCAACAGAATTTCAAAGGCTAAAAAAAATATATACTAATATGATAATACTTAAAGCAGTAATAGACCAGTTATGTAGTTAAAAGACAATACACACACACAAAAAAAAGAAGATTATAAACAATCCCATTGTTATAAAAAGGAGAGCTAGACATTAAACATCAGTTAACACGAGTAATGGAGTATAAAGGTTTTGCCAAGTCAGATCTCTCCTACTGCTTTATATGTACGGGGGAGAGAAAAGTAACAGCGTAACTACGTTCCAGTTTTGCTGTGGCATTTCAACATTTGACAGTATTTTGATTAAGAAATCTGCATCCAAAAATAAGCACCTCACATTACATGGATTAAAGACTAGTAGACCATGAAATGCCAACAGCAAAGAGAAGTCGTCATCAGCAGTAAATGGGTATGATTCTAGAGGACTCTAGTATGGATTGAATCATAAACTTGGATTATTCGATGCTGATCGAAACCACAGTTTTGTCTTATAATTTACATCTCAAATGAACACGAATTACTTGGGAGAGCTCCACAGTCCGGCAGCACGGCCAGTTTCCAAGCAGCTGGACAGCTCTACGATACACTAGGACTGCTGCATAAATGTAACTGGAGGCTTTATATTCAGATGCAACTAATATTTTGCTGGATTACACATTTTTATCACTTTGGCCTTTATAGAACTTCCAAGAGATGGGAAGGGGGAGAGGAGCCCAAACAGCAAATCTTCGCTGTTAAATAATGCTGATGTTGGGTTCCTTCCCCCACGGCAAAACAGCAGCAACTACTTTCAATGCTCCAAGCGCAGCCAGATCAGCAGAAGCTGATCGTGTAAATGAAGCACTAGGATGGTGAGCAATTCTTAAAGTTAGCTCTAGGACTGACAAGTAAACATAACGTGCTTGTCACCTTCTCTCTGCAGACAAAACGTTTTAAGTGAGGCAGAGCCTTTCCCACTGAAGTCTTGGCAACCTGTTGCCAAAGTTTTCACTGGCCTTTATAATGCACGACTCTATCAAAAGGGATTCAGTGGGCACGTCCCGTATCGTCCAGACTATCTTTGACATTCAGCATGGAAAAGATCAAGAAAGCACTACAGAATACATCCAGTACAATCCAGCCCCTCCATGGCTTAGAAGTCAAGCAAAAAGCAAAAACCTGAGATTAATTCCAGATGTAACGTTTCACAGTTAAACACAGCACTGCTTTTTCAGCACAAGTGAGGAGTTAGACTCAAGGGAACTTCAGCATCGTACTTCTGCACCTATTTTGACAGTCAAGGCAGAGAGGTATCACACACCGTCAGATTAAGGAAGGTAGTTTTGGTTTTACACTGTGTAATACTAAGATTATTCCTAGAAGAGAGACCTGCAAGAAGCACTAGGCGGTTGAGAGCACTCTTGCTCTCAGAAGAATTTTGCCTTAAAAATATTTTCCTGCAAGCTTTTTGCTCTAACTTCCTTCTATAATTACAGAACTCAAGTACTAGAAAGGACTATACAAGTTTTCTTAATTTTTTTAAATCATTTTTTTTTTAAAAAAAAAAGAGGGCTAGATTACAATTTGCACTAAGCTTGTTGTCTAAAAAATTTCAGGTGAAGAAATGTATTCATGTATTTAGCTGGGAATCTGCCTTCAGAAAGTACCGACAAAGGAACCCAACTAATAGACAGTTTCCTGAACTTGCTGGAACATATTTGACATAGAATGCGTGGGGCTGGAAGGGACCTTTAAAGATTATCTACATCTTTAAACTCAAAGGAAAATGAGGCAATATAGTCCACATATTCTACTAATCCAACTCACACCAAAGCAGACAGCTAAATTAGGTTAGAGAAAACGAGGCTGCCTATGCGTCTCAACTGAAAATCTGAGCTAGGGTAGTCAAATATGACCAGCTTAGCACTATACACAGATTTGTCGCACAACTAAATCAACCCCAAGGTCAGATGATAAGAAATTACTCGACTTTCCCACTGTAACACGTAGGTTTGGTCCTAACAAGATTTGGAGATTGTATGTCCACACTGCACATTGAAAGTGAAAGAGGGTTGATTTCGATTAGATATAAGGAAAAAATTCTTCACCATGAGAGTGGAGAAGCACTGGAAGGGGTTGCTCAAGGAGGTTGCGGATGCCCCATCCCTGGAAGTGTTCAAGGCCGGGTTCAATGGGGTTTTGAGCAACCTGGTCTAATGGGAGAGAGGTGTCCCTGCCCATGGATGGGGGGGTTGGAACTAGATGATCTTCAAGGTCCCCTCCAACCTTAACCATTCTGATTGATTTACCAGCTGCAGCTCTGAAGTACGCGCTGCACATACAAACAGGCAACACAAAGCAGGAATCTGTAAAGTCAGCCTCGATGATTTCTCAGTGCGAACAGAATCCACAGAGGGGGCAGTGTTAGAGATGAAAACAGTTTTCTTGTAGAATATTAGAATTAATTGTGGGATTGCTTAAAAATAGGAGGAATTGCAATTTGTTTTGTCTTAAGAGTGACATTGCTTAGCATGAGCAACCAGATTTACGGAAGCCTTAGGCCCAGACTGTGGACTTTTACCTAAGTACTGATGAGTTTAGGCTGAAGAAAGGCCCTAAAACCAATGCTGATTGAGAAAGATAAGATCAACAGAAACTACATCCTTGAGATAAAGAAAAGAATGCCCACCTGGAGAGAGAGGAAGGCTCCAATGAGGAACAAGAAAACCACAGACCCAAATATTACTATTGGGCCAAAACATCGTGTGAAGGGAGGTGAACTTGGATTGTAAGTATGTAATTGCTCAGGGATTTCTTTGCTCAGGGTCCCTCTCAGAGGGCCCCAGTGTTGCCACAAGGGTGGCAGAATAATTTTTACTGCCTTAAGAGTGCTAAATCAATCTTTCAAAGGATACTGCTTCAAGGATGGGGAGAGGCAATGAAGAAATTTTCCAGCCCGTTAGGAGAAAAGATAATGTGCACCTGGAGATAGCGAGTAGATCATTGTTTAGAGAGCTTTAACAAGCTGTTTGTCCTTGGGGATGTGTGGAATCAGACCTAAGCAGGGCTTTTCTAGCCAAAATTCTCATTATGGAAATTAGAGGGTAAAAATCCATCAAAAATTGTTTATGACAGGCTGAAAGTGAGTCAAAATTAAATGTAGCAATGGGAGATGGTGACCACCAACTCAACTCAGAGAGCCAAAACTCACCCCCCCACATCTGCAAGGAGCATGCTCGCTAATTTACATGAGAGGCGAAGCTAATTTTAATATACTGCTCCAATGATGAATATAACTGCTACCAGTAACAGCAGAACTAGTGGTAAGGTAGGCGTGTTTTTAATAATAAATTACAAAATAAATGTGGCAGGTTTCAAGGCAGTATGCTAGTGTCATCTAGCATCCAAACTTGGCCAAATTTGCTAATAAACCAATGCCAGCTTTCTAAACTATTGCTTGGTTTAGAGTTTTCTCTTTGCAGTTGCTGCTTTTGGCAACACCAGCTTGAGCTGAAATAAACCAACTCTGTGGCAGAACCTGGGGTCTGAAGTCTTCTTTACAGTTGGGGTCTAAGACCGTTATCCAGCTGCACCCAGACTCCTCTCCGTGAGGAAGTTTAGAAAGCAAGGGTGTCCAGCCTGAACCTCGTGACTCAGCAGGAGGGTCTTTGCAGACTCTTCTAGAACAGACAGTGCTGGAAGACCTCAGGGAAGATGCATTCTTCCCCAGTGAGCACATGTTAAGAGGGGGACCCAGGTGGCTAGTAGCACACAGCTTTGTACTCAGTGCAACCATGAGAAAAACCACTCTGCAGGACACCATCGGGAACGGTGTGACCATTCCGATTCCCCACACAATCCCACCTGACCGCGTACAACCATATGCTCCAGTCGAACCCGCACCTCAAGCGAGCACCTCCCACGCAACAAACTGTTAGTGTGAACAGACCTATCATGTTAAATGCACTACAAACGCTTAGAGAAGGTCTCTTTCTTCAGCAAATGTGGAAAAAAACCAACATTCTGAAGAAGTCAGAGTACAGTTCTGGTTCTGATACAACTAGTTTTATTGTGACATATGATTGTAATGTAAAAAATTCATCTTCATCTTAGAGACTTAAAATAATCTGAAAATAAATATGATTTTCATTCTTTGGTTATACTTTTTACTAGCTCTTTCTGATATCAGAACTTTTGCTTCATGAAAAGTCTGATGACATCACACAGGGAACTCAAATCCCTATGAGAACCCTTTTGAATAACTTCCACCACTTATTTTTGAATAGCAACTATCTCCCCTTCAAAAAGCCACTTCTTGATAAAAGTTTTCTTTTAACCTTTTTTTTTCTTTTAACCTTTTTTTCCTTATTGATGCCTGACAGCTGTTTTCTCTCTCTCTCTGATTCTCTCTATGTGCCAGCTCTGTAATGGAGTTAACCGTCTTCATAAGGAGCTGGTATAGGAGGGGCTGCATTTGGGATTTGGGCTGGAAAGAGCACTGGTAACCCAGGGATGTTTTCATTATTGCTGAGCAGGGCTTACACAGAGTCAGGGTCACTTGCTTCCCACCCCACCAGTGAGGAGGCCAAGGATGCACATGAAGCTGGGAAGGGACACAGCTGGGACAGCTGAGCCCATCTGAGCAAAGGGATATTCCAGGCCACAGGTCTGCAGCAACAGATCAGGAGGAAGAAGGAAGGGGAGGACGTTCGGAGTGATGGCATTTGTCTTCTCAAGACACCGTTACGAGTGATGTAGCCCTGCTTCCTGCAGATGGCTGAACACCTACCCTGCCCATGGGAAGCGGTGAATGAATCCCTTGTTTTGCTTTCCTTGCAGGCGTGGCTTTTGCTTTATCTATTAAATTGTTTTTATCTCAACCCACAAGTTTTCTCGCTTTCACCCTTCGGATTCTCTCCCCCATCCTGACTCAGGGCGAGTGAGTGAGCAGCCATGTGGGGCTGAGCTGCTGGCTGAGGTTAAAACACGACCCTCTAATACTTCAGGCCAGGCTTTAATCTAAACAATGTTTTATTCTTTGGCCCGACTGCACAATGTGCCTTGGCATGTGTAGCGGACAGATGTGTGAATATCTGGCCTAAACACTTCTTGGCACTTTACAAACTCACAGCTTGGTCAAAAAACAGTTTCTGGTCCTGTGTGGCAAACTAAGAAGTGTCAAATGGAACGTGGTAAAGGTGATCTGAAAAACAAATGCCTCAAAGAGCCCTGGCACCAAATATATGTATGAGATCAGGAATCTTGTGAAGACCGGATGGCTTTGTCTCATAACGTCTCTCCCAAGGAGAGAAGGCAATTGCATATGGTTGTAAACAACGTAATGCCCTGCTTCCCTACTGGACACGCTATACATCTGCGTACAGAAAAAGTGTGTATGAATTGAGGTGGGATAAAGCAAAAAGTGAGACGACAGTCAAGAGACAGAGCCTGTGGAAAGCAATGAAGACACCAAGAAGAAAAAGTGCATGAGGAGAAGGCGACAAGATGACGGCATCCTTGAACCCTTGTTGGTAGGACCAACATGGAAACTTGGCCCAGTGATCTCTGTCTCTCTACCCCCCGCTCTCTTTTCACTTTCCCCTTTCTCACTAAGTAATGCAAGGCCTATCATACTGCTTGTTTAGTTTATATCTAGTTTCTGTCTTGTAATCATTAAGTACAATGCCACATGTTAGAAGTTGTTACATGCCCTTTTTCCTTGTTATCACGCAGCTTGCTGTAGTTTGTTGTATACCTGGCCTTTTCCTCATTATCAGTAAGTCATAGAATATTGCCTGCCCTAATGAGTCTTGTAACTAAAACCAATTATCATGAGTCCAATCTACATGTTTTGAGAAATAAATGTTTGTGTGTGGGCCTTGAGACCTGTCTCATCATTGTCCACTCCTTTGGGGAATTATAAATCTAAGTCACTTGTCCCCACCACCACCCTGGGCGGGACATGACAGCACGCAGGTACAAGAAGGAACATAGATTTAGAAGGTGTCAGCTTGAAAACGCAGCATCTGGAAAGGAACAGCTACGAAAGGCATCAGTGTCTGCTGAGTTCCAAGCTCCACAAAGGGAGAGAGCATCCAACTCATGGATCTTCAGTATATCAGGTACCTAATTTAAATCTCAGCTGTAATTACAAAATACTTTTCTTCGATTGTATCAGAAACTCTTGAATGACAGTTTAAGAAAAAAAAAAAAAAACTCCTCTCCTTCTGAAACGAAAGGCCACAGAAAGTATTTTCTGCTCAAAGTCTCTATTTTTGCCTAAGAACCTCTCAAAACAATCTGACATTTTGACATTTTTCCATGTCATTGTGAACAATTTACGTAAATTGAGAAGACTACATCCTTCCAGTATCCTTTAAAACTTGACAGATACTGTGGAAAAGTGTAAGATTGTGTTTTGGAGTCTTACCTCACAATAGGCAATTTGGTAAATGGAACAGGAGGTAACTTCAAACCATCTGGAAGAGTGATGAATTCCATTGTACCAGGACATTTTGCTGTGTAGCTTTCCAAGCTCTGTGTTACATCTTTCTTTTCTAGAAAATAAAATGGTTTAAAATAAAATTAAAAAAAAAAGAATCAAACTTACATGTAAGAAAAGTGTAAGATGAAGTTATAACCAAAGTAGTACTTGGGGCTTTTTTGTATTTATACAAAATAACTCTAATGGAATGACAACTAATATCTGCACAGAATTCTTATAGTTATGCTCCGGAAACCCAAACAGATTGATAAAATAATATTAAATGACCTTAAAGTAAGACAGTTTTCTGAACCTTTCAGTATTTTTAAAGTGTCAATCTATATCTATATTTTGTTAATTATTTCATTGTCACAAAAATTCTATAATTTATCTAGTAAAGCTACACATCCAACAAAATTAGCCCAAGTACGTTAGGTTATTAATGCTAGCATTGCTACGTGAACAAGCCCTGCTCTGAAACATTAACTGAAACAATACCAAAGGCAAAGAGGAACAAATTACTTCTGACGAAACCTTGTCTTAAAACAACCTACCTCTTAAAATAATTGTACTATATTATAGCAACTAAATCATAGCAACTAGTAAGAAAATCTTCTTTGGTTTTGCTTACAAATACAATAATCTTCAAACAATTATACATTATTTGGGTTATCTTCAATCATGTGTAATAAACATTTATGAATATTATCCAATAACTATTTTCAACAATGTATAAACTTAGGTCTCCAGGAAAATACATGGCCTAAACACCAAAATTGTATTTCTCTGATGAAACAGGAGTCTGTAAACAGAAATAAGATCATGTTGAGAATGAAATAATTGAATAGTCTTAGACCTAGATGGTTTTTAAACACAGTGAACATTCTTCCATACATGTGCTACCAATAAAAACAACTATTCAATATCTGAACTACTTTTAGAAAATAATTCAGAGATCTGAGCAGCCTAATCTAGTGGAAGATGTCCCTGCCCACGGCAGGGAGGTTGGAACTAGATGATCTTTAAGGTCCCTTCCAACTCTGACAGTTCTATGATTAAAACACTTGACAATAAAACAAAAAAAGGGGAAAAAAAGTGTGATAGCAAATACTGCTTTCAAAAAAAAAACCTGCTTAGACGGGTGTATTAAGTTAATGTAGCAAGTTTTTGGTAGCAAGAGGTGCTGCAGTGGTGGCCTTCAGGAGAAGAAACCAGTAGTTTCATGTCGGAGAGAGTTGGTTCCAGTGGCCTCCAAAACGAATCCACAATTGCCCAAAGCCGGGCCCATCAGCTGTGCTGGTGGCACCTCTGTGATTACATATTTAAGCGTAAAAAATGCTGCATAGCAGCTGTGAGAGGGAAAAACATGAAAAATGTGAGAAAAACACATCCTGCAAACCATGGCACAAGCATTCACTGACATTTCTGTATGCCACATCAATCCAGCTTAGTCTGTAACCTTCTGAGGCCATGAGTGCAGGCTCTTTCCAAACAAACAAACACTGACTGTATCTATCTGCCTTCACTATGAAATTAATGCCACGTAACAGACAAACTGCCTCGCTTCGTCCATGTTTTGCTGAATTGTCTCTTGAGCCACTCACCACATTTTAATTGAGCCTAGACAATGTTCCCAGAAGTACATTATTAGACATACACATCCACTAGGATCAGCCAGGAGCTGCAGTGGCGTAAGAATGAGTATTTTCATCAAAATTTCAGGCTACAACATTCAGGTTTTTACTTGCAATCTTATGTGAGCAAGGACACATTGTACAAGTAGAATCCACCAAGATGGAAAGCATCACAACTACCGAGAACGACAAAGAAAACACAACAGCCTGCGCTCCATTCTGCTCAAACCTGGAGGTCTGCCATCCTGAAGAACTGCCTTTCGCTTCCTAGCCTGAAACACTGTCAGTTACCGTACTCAAAGAAAGCATGTTGCCTCCTGCAAAATGAATTTGCTTATAGATTTTTCTCGAGTCACATTTTTCTTTCGCTGTAGAAGCTCAGTGTGCTTCCCACAAAGATGAGTCTAAAGCAAGGCATTTCTCTACGCCGGTATCGTGTGAAATGCAGTTTAAAACATGCTGCTGTCAAGCCAGCAGCTCTATTACTTTTTACTTAGCACCACATCTCAGCCAAGATGCTAGAAGAATCTAAATCAATAGGACATATCAAAAAGCATTCGTGATGCAAAAAAGCAAGAGCTGCATGATCTTGCCCGAAAGACACTTCTGGAAAGCAAATGTTGGAGCCTTTCTCCCTTGACTGAGCACCTCTGCTCCCTGACCTCTGTGCTATGAACTTCTTCATTTAGTCAAATCTGCAAAGCCTACTACTTGCCAAAAACCTGCTACAGACTGCTGCTTTCAAACAGCCCTGAGTTCTTTCAGCCTCAGCCTGGCTTTCATCGTATTTTGACATAACCAGAAACTGTACAAACCTCCTGGAAGGATCTATTCAACTACCAAGTCTCCCGACCCCATAGATGAAAAGACAGTGAAAGAAACAGTTATCACCAGTATTTACCTTTCTCTTTGCAAAGAGGAGATAGAAAACAGCTGTTCTAGGTCTTTACCCATCTAGTGTCTTTATGTTT